GTTCTTATTTGGATTCGCCTTCCTGATCTGAAATTTCATTATTTTTCTCAAAAAGTGTTGTATTCTATTGCCTCAGCTTATGGTAAGCTACTCAATACAGACATTCTTTCTTTTAATCTTTCCCGTCCATCTGAAGCCAGAGTACTTGTTGAAAGAGACATTACTTCTTTCACTTCTGAGAAAATTTGGTTGGGCACACAACATCATGGATATTGGCAGAAGGTAGAGATTGAGCCTTTTCCTTCGTATTGTTCTAACTGTCGTATGTTCAGCCACTCCAGTTTTCAATGCCATCATCTACATTCTTACCTCAGATCAAAAAGGCAAAGTGCTCCACTAGAAGCAGTGATTCCAACTCCTCCTGATCAGCTCCAAGTTATTGACACTATCGATCATCAAAATGGTACACCTGAAGACGTCATTATTTCCGTAGGCAATATATCAATCATTTAGCCTCCACACATTGCTGTAGCTCCTCCGTCTTTGAAACCTCTTATCATGGAGATGAGGGAGATTCTTCAAACTCCGCCTGCCCTAGAGCCTATCACTGATATTATAAGTGAAAATACTTCTGCTGCTTCACTATCGCCACATCAGGTCCAGAAAGATATCAATGCTACTCAAACTCCAAGGGATCATGATATGCAACGTTCTACACCTGTTCGGTCTCCTTTGGACCAATCCATTGATCAGATGAGTTAATCATCGGATGAGGAATGACATGTCTACACATCCAGGAGGAAGAAGAAGAATGGAGACATACTTGAGCTCATAAATCTGATGAATGATACTTTGGTTACTTCGGGTAATGGTACGCACCTTACCAATTTGTTAGCTGGCTCCCTTCCGAGAACTAGAGAGAGGAAGGACTGAAGTGGGACGTCCCCAACACTTTTACATCTGTTGGTGGATTTTTAATTTTTTTATCTTTATGTATCTTTGGTTCTTTGGGTTTTTGTGTGTGTTGTATTGTTTGAGTTGAGCCTTCTTTTAGGCCATCTCATACAACCTATCTGTACCTTTTCCTCTTTAATATATTAGCTCTTGGACTTTTTGAAAAAAAAAAAAATAATAAAATAAATATATATATATAT